ACACACACACACACACACACACACACACACACGCCTTCACCCACATTGGCCTTGGTGCCATTCTCCTCAAGCGTTGCGTCTTACAGGCAGGTCAACTCCAATGTTTGTAGTCTAACTGTTGCCGCAAACAAACATGCCTCCTCCCCAAAAGAGCGCCACTCTAGCGGAATGCGCCTGTGCGGCTGTCATTACATGTCATTACAAGATGGAGAAGGTGCTGCTGTAGAGCTTTAAATCAAATATTCCAGCAGTGGTTCACAAATTTTCTTTTTTTCTTCCCTGAGCTATAGGGCAAGAAGGCTGGAGAGGAGTTTCCTCTGCAGCCAGGGAGCCAATGAAGTCTCTCGTATGCGCTCACATGAGTTTCTCCGGACAGGTTTTAATGACTGATATTATGTATGGTAATTTCTTAGCTGGATCACATGACACAATTACCTCAAGAATCGATCAAGATGTATTGCAGGTCTGCCTACGTTTCCGATTTTTTCTCCCTGGCGGGGTCTTTCCACGCGCCCGCGGTGCTATAGATGGACAAAGTTTAGCACAGTCGAGCTGCCAATTCCTCTCCTCCCTTTTTGCACAGAGGGAAAGGGAAGCAGAGATATGACGGAATACGATGATCGCAGCTGTGCGTCAAATATGTATTTACCGAGCTGCACTTATTACGTTTCGACGCCCGATTTCACATCAGTCTCGTCGTTTCTACCGCAGACCACTTCGTGCCAGGTCAATTTCCCCTATTCCCCCAACATAGCCCAAGTCCAACCTGTACGAGAGGTCGCTTTCAGGGATTATGGACTGGACCATCCTAGCAAATGGCACTACAGGGGCAATTACGCGTCGTACTACTCAACGGACGAGATAATGCACCGGGACTTGATCCAGTCCTCGGGCAGCAGGGCGGAAGTGATCTTCAAAAACGAGTCCTTGTACGGCCACCACGGAGGGACGAGCTCGCCGTGCAATTTCTTCACCGGTGTCGGCCGCAACGGGGTGCTCCCCCAGGGCTTCGACCAGTTCCTGGACACCCCTAACTCGGACAAGCTCGGCGCGGAGCTCCCCAAACAAAAGACAGACTCTGCTGCGCCCGGAGATGCTGCGAACAACAACAACGACACCGAGTCTTTAACCAAACTCGAGCAGGACAAAGCGGACCCGAGCGGGAGCGTGGACGAGGACTCATCCTCCAACTGCGGCGACAAGAGCAGCCAACAGAGTAAGTCACCCTTTTCCTCCTCTTTTGTCCTACAAGGTGTTCACTCAGAGACAATAGCAGTGTCTGCACCGCACTATGCGTCCTCTACTGTGGCCGTGCACGGTTATGTGGCTCCTTTATAAGCATGCAAACGCTTTTTATATCCCAATAAGATCTACTTTACGCTTGTAAAGGTATTTACTGTGGGAAACAGTCAAGTAACCGTGGTTTAAAGGTTACCTGGCGTCTAGTAACAGTAAGAGGTTGGTGGAATTGATTTTTATTGGCAGAGAACTGGAAATAAAATATGCATCTTTTTATTAAAGTTAATATAATTTGCTTATAGGCAGCGTTGTGCAGATATAGCGACACTTAAAGGGGAATAAATCTCCAAACAGCAACGTATGCGTAAAATCCAGTGCAATATAAGTTCATTTTGATGCTAATTTCTCTAGTGGTGGTGTGTGTAGCCTGAGTCTGTGTGTGTGCGTGTCTGAGTGTATGTGTGTGTGTCTGAGTGTGTGTGCAAAGAAAGAGAGGGGCCTTTTTGTTCACCATTTGGTGTATAACTATCTGCAACACGTTAAGTGGACTTAAGTTCAAATTTACAACATTTTATGACATGATGTTCATTTCATTGTTTTCACGCTTTTACTTATTTTCTTCCTGCAGGTTCATCGACCAAGTCGAGGAAGAAGAGGTGCCCTTACACCAAATACCAGATCCGAGAACTTGAACGAGAGTTTTTCTTCAACGTGTACATTAACAAGGAGAAGCGGCTGCAACTGTCCAGGATGTTAAACCTATCGGATCGACAGGTGAAGATCTGGTTTCAGAACAGACGCATGAAGGAGAAAAAGCTCAACCGCGACCGCCTACAGTATTTCACCGGGAACCCTTTATTCTGATGCATGTGACACACACACACACACACACTACATTTTTCAAAGACTGCTCTCCTCTGTACATATGAACCCTGATCATCCTCTTTTTATTCCAAAAAATTCTGGCATTTAAAAAAAAAAAATCAAACAAGATGCCATAATTTTTATGTTTATGTTTTTGCATTACAATCCAATAATACATTTATTTATTTGTGTTCATATATATTTTTTTCGCGTTACTGGCAATTGAATATCTCTGCAAAGCGCGAGCTGTGCTTTGAAATAATTTATATAAACCCTATAATATGTAGCCTTCTTCCTTGTGTACTGTATGTGCATTTATAAAGACGCATGTAATGTACGTTGTGGTGTGAAATAAAGTAGACACGAAAAAAATATGTATCGTCATATAGTCACGAAACCTGTCACATGATCCATATATGTGAGATTACATGGAGGGAGTTCTCAGGCCTGTTTGGTCCAGTTATTTTCTTTCCCTTTCAAACACTAGATTGTTTACTAAACCTTGAACCGTCTAGACAGTACAATAAAAGCAGCTGTAAATGTCTAAATAGGGGGCTATTGGACTTTGGTGTCCCAACCCCCAGACCACAAGAAGACTGTTGTTATTTTTCACCTCCTTGTCTCAAAAGTAGTTTCACCCAGGCTGTAGATACTTTGGAGAATTCAGGAGTTAAGCTTTCTGCGTATCTCGCCCGAATTTGGCCCATTCTGGCATCCATGGGGGGGATTTAAATGTAGCACATTTAAGAATCGCCATTTGAAAGATAAGTACATTCACCCGCGAGTGAATCTGCTTGTGCGTTTTTCAAAATGGACGAAATGTGGATTTTGACGCAGAGGATGAAGGGAAAAGGCGCATTTTCCTCTTTGTTTTATTAATGCAGGTGGAACAGCTCCATAATAAGAACCTAAGGTGATTATAGGGGACTCATCTCAACGCAATATCTCAGCAGGGTATAATTCTGTAATCACCAAAGAAAATACAAATGCGTTCTCGTGATGCCACCAGATAATTTCCACTCCAGCAACAATTGGACCTCACCCACTCTCCTTGTTTCAGCGAGCTTTATAAAAATAACAACGAAGTGGGATCATTGCTTATTTCATTCACTAGTTTGCCCCAAAAAGGTTGTTAGAGAACTGAGGTTTCATTACGCGTTTAATTGGCTTGTCATCATGTCCCACAGTGAAATTGCATTACCAACTGTGTGGAGGATCTCACTCTGATTCTCTCTGTATCCACATGAGGGCAGACTTGCCACTTTGGCTCAGAGTGGAAATGCAGAGTTCAGCCAATTTAACACCCTGCACGAAAACCAGGAGTAAACCACCCAACACAGGTTTTATTTAGATGTATTTTATTTTTATTCTAACTGCACCCCATTAGCCATAAATATTATATTTTTGCAGCGTAACTATCTTGATGTTTTGGTTAAAAGTCCCCTGGTTTGATATCAAACTGTTAAAGGGTCTATTTTCTGTGGCGCTTTCAGAGCATAAACTGATAATTGTTGCCCAGATTATTTTCCACTCAGTTTAACTTGTGCAAACGCTACGTGGCGTCTTCCACACATGACAACTACTTGTGCAAGTCATGTTCAAGTGTTGAGGAAGGACAAGGTAAACAAAAGAAATATAATTCCTCTCGTGTCTTTGTCCTGTGGACCTCACACACTTCGATCTGTACCTGAAGGCCGCACAGGCCACACACATCTGTGGGCTGCAGATATTATGGCATTCTTAGTGGAAATCAATCATGTGCTTTGTTTCTTTTTTATTTTGATTCACGTTGCATCTTTCTGAATCTGTGTAAACTGTCTTTTGTCTGCGTTTGTAGTTTCGATTTTCTTCCATAAGAACAAAGCTCCTCCGAAGAAACGTTGTTGGAGTTTTCATACTTTTTTATTTCCTCCCTTTTTTGTTATCCTTTATTAAACATCACTATGTGTATTTGCAATTTATCATTATTGTTATTATTATGGCTGATAGTTGACTATACACGAATAATATACTCCCATATTTTATATTTTTTTACTGCGTCACATGATGTACTAAATCCCAATGTTATGTCTGAGAAATTGTCAAAATAAGCAACATGATAATTAAAGCAAACATAATGTCCGTGTCATCATAAGTCTCACTTACATGTTTACCTTTTCCTCCATTTAAAATCACAGAATATGAAAGGCTGTGTGGGGAAAGTAGATTTTCTAAAGCCTAATTTTAATGATTAAAATGAAGAGTTTATTAGTTCTATGCCTTTCATTGTGTATTTTGCGATGTCGTTGATTTGCACGTTTATTTAAAAACAACTTTTAATACCCAACACGGAAACAACTAATACGATATCTACACACCGCAAACACGTATGATTATTTCAAACTTGCCGCAAGGCCAAGGATATAATTATTTCAACTTACCATATTCTATTTTTGTAAAAACCAAAGGAGTGATTAAATTAACCGTGGCTTCTCATCTTTAACATTTTTCACTTTTTTTTTACTCTAACATTTTAATTGAATCTCCTCTCAGTTGAGAGTCTAAGTCTTTGTATTACACACATTTTCCTTCCTCTGCAAACAAAAACGATGGAGCCCTGCAAAGATAGTCCCCATGACTGTGAACGCACCGCCACCTAAAGCAGATTCCTCTTTTTTTTTAGTTTTGCATTTGAACGTCTAAAAATAAACTTGTGACGAATTGCGAACAGCGGCTGTTGACGTCAATGGCGTGTGCAAATGATAAAAATAACTTTAAGACACATTTCTATGTGCGTTAGATGGACTTTATTTCAATAACAGTATTGACCTTCATATACAAGCACAGCTTGGAGTGACTGATTGCTCGAAGTTTGAATGGTGGATTGTCCAGGTGGTTTATTCTAACGCTGACATGTTGCAGGAAATGTGAAAGTCTTTATTTTCGACTGAACTCGACAACATTTGAAAAACATTTGTGCAAATGAGCATAAAGCAAAATACAAAACCCTGAATTAGTTTTCACTAAGAGCAAGTATATTTACAGCAAAACATTTTATCAATTTAATTCTTAGTTGAAGTGAAAATATTGGAGACAGTTAATTTGGGTTTGGAGACATTTCAATTATTAACATGAATAAAAAACACTATGAGTCTGCAGTTGTCGACTATGCGCCATGCAGGCAGCATGCACACACACACACATACAAGCACGCACACACACACACATATGTACATCCTTAGTCTTTCACACAAAGAGACAAATGTCCTCTGGGTGTTTCGCACGGACTCTGCAGAGCCTCGGTGGCGGAGCGGGTCCAATATGAAAGTCTGCGTCTGCCTCCAATTCAAATCAAACGTGATAATTGCCTGAGTTTTATTGAGCAGCCTGCGTGTGTGAAAGTCCCGCGATGCCCCCGCGTTGTGTGTTCAGACCAATTTCAAGTCCGCGTCGTAGGTGTCGCTGTTGACCACGTCTGCATCCGCGGCGCAGAGCGAGTGCGGGGAGAGAGGAGGCTGCGTCTCAAGGCCATTTTCAAATCTCATTGGTGGGCTCGTCATGTGGTCGGGAGGCATCCTGACTTGCAGGGAGATTGTTTTTCCTAGATATGTCAGCTTCCACAGGACATCTCTCTCCTCCAAAGAGCTTAACCCCCAAAAATGTCCTTCCCCGGTAGCTCTCCTGCGGCCAACACCTTCTTGGTGGACTCTTTAATTGGTGCGTGCAGGACGGACAGCTTCTACTCCGGCAGCAGCAACATGTACATGCCGTCCGGCTCAGACATGGGAACTTACGGAATGCAAACCTGTGGACTCCTGCCGTCTTTCGGCAAGAGAGGGGAGCTCAACCACCAAAACATGGGCATGAACGTGCACTCCTACATACCTCAACTAGATAACTGGACTGATCCGAGCAGACCCTGCAGGATAGAGCCGTCAAGTCAGATGACAAACTGTTCATTCTCACAGAGCATAAAGGAAGAGAGTAACTGCTGCATGTACTCCGATAAGAGAGTGCAAAAAGTCAGCCTGACAGAAGTCCCTGCTTATCCCAATGTCGCCCCCGAGTCCTGTCCCGTCGACGGCCCCGAGATCCCGGTGCCGGGCTATTTCAGACTGAGCCAAACTTACGCGAATGGGAAGCACCAGGACAACTACTGCCATGAGCCGCCGAGTCCAAACCCAACACTGATGCAGCTCAGCCGGCTCACCCCAAAACCGCAGTCCACTTCCTCCACGTCCTCCACGTCGTCTAATTTTGCAGAGGTCGAGAAGAAAAGTGAGGACTTGCGGCACGACCCCGAGAACTCCAGGACCCCGGTACCCGCAGAGAGTCCGGATCCAAAGTCTGGCTCGGAGGAGAAGAGCTGCTCCGTGGACATGGAGGCGCCGGTATCCAGTCCTGAGCTGCTGCAGCAGAAGGAAGGGAAAGGTGGGTTGGCTGCAAATGAATGCTTTTATCTTTGTGGCGCTGTGTTGAGAGAAGGCTCGAGCATCATAAAACCAAGTATAAAACACAAACAACCCCGAAAGTCGTAATGTTTAATGAGAGTCTTTCTCAAGTTGCAGTTATAGGCAGCAGAGAATGGTTTTTACCATGCAGCATGCAGACTCTGACCCCTTCCTCTAACTCAGACATTTAAATTCTTACATTGTATTTTTTAAATAGATATTGCATGCTTTATTTTAAAATGCATTGTACTATTGCGTTATTTCTAGACTCTCGTGCTGTACTTGTAATCCTATTATCAATCTCTGCGGTGTAAATTAAAAATGCAGGCTCTTTAATAAATTGGTGCATTTGCAGCCACAGTGCACAGTTCAGTTCCTGCAGCCTGGCAACATATCAAAAACCACTGTGTTTGAAATTCAATTTCCAATGGAGTACTTTGAGCATTGCATTAATTACACGTTAATATATTTAATATTTAATCCAATTAATGGATTTTTTTTATCATCGTCCTTCAAGCTGCACGTATACAGGTGTAATCCCCCGTGTGCGCTTTGATCAGTTGGGGTTTGATTTCATTTCTCTTTTATTAGTGGTGGCACGGTCGTGACTAATAACATCCGCTGCATATGAATTATTCTGGGATGGTGTTGTTATATTGTGTTATTTCCCATGAGGAGAGGTGTGAAGCAGCAGGTGAGGCTAAAAATAAATGTGTGTGAATCTCCACAGATTGCAAGAGCGACACGCCGACCAGCAACTGGTTAACAGCGAAGAGTGGGAGAAAGAAGAGATGCCCTTACACAAAGCACCAGACCTTGGAGTTGGAGAAGGAGTTTCTCTTCAATATGTATCTGACCCGAGAGCGCCGCCTAGAGATCAGCCGGTGCGTCAACCTGACTGACAGGCAGGTCAAGATCTGGTTTCAGAACCGCAGGATGAAGCTGAAGAAGATGAACAGGGAAAACCGCATCCGTGAACTGACCTCAAATCTCACCTTTTCGTGAGCTCGCATGCTCTCAGTGGTTAAAGCTGTTTTTTTTTATATGTCTCTTCGTGTTCAGTTCAGTTCACTTTTTGGTGGCATTGGACGTTCATTCTCAATTTCAGCGAAACTGTGACTATATATATTTCAGTACTTTGTGTGGCATCTTGTATTCTATTTGTTTCATTTATTATTTTGTTATTGTATCACATCAGGGTAAGATTTTGTGTTGTTAAATTATTGGAGACTTCTTCCTCTCCCCTCTGCCCGTATATGGATATAAATCTATTGTGTCGGGGTGGTGGTGGTGAGCTGTGTGTGGGAAAAGACGTTGCTTTTATTTCAGTCATGAAAGCACATTTATTGTCGTATAGTGCAACATTTGTTTTACAGTGTGTGCAAGCCATTTGCTCAGTAGTGAAATGTTTCTATGGGCCTTTTAAAAGTGAAGGAAAACAGTGTTAATCTGTGAATTTACTGCATGTTTGTGGCATGTATCTTGCAATAAATAGATTGTCAAATAAGTTTGTTTTCCTTTTTGTTCATGTTGTGGTCCAACAACTGTCATTTATCGGTATTTGCTGCACCGAAGTGGAAATGTGTGGTATTGCTTGCTTTCATGCAGGAACTATTTCTCCTTAAAACGCTTAAAATCGGGAGGAGGAAAATATGTTTTCTGAATGAGGCTCTACTTTAATGAAAGTTGAAAAGTGGCATCCAAACATTTTGCTAATATGTTCCTGATTTAACTGACGGGATACAGTTTGATATAACTTCTTGCAAAGGTAAGTATTTTTTGATTATATCTCTTTTACGCACAGTACCACCGTTTTTACGCACGCATTTTTAAGATGTTAGGAGAAAACTCCTAATCTACCATCACATGTTTTCAAGAAATTACACTTCCCTCAAGCTAAACAGAGAAGAAAATACTGCTATTTGTTAAACTAAATTAAAAAAGATTCAATAAATGATCTAAATAACAGAAAGGTTGCAGCCTTTTGTGCCGTTCTCTTCCACTCGTCTGTTTCTGTGTATAAGGAAAGCTGCAGCAGAGACGCACAGGGGCGGGGGTATGTAATCAAATAAATATGCAGTTGCTTTTATTTGCAGGTCTGTTTGTAACTAAACTAACCGTCTACAGGACTCATCAGGCGGGGTAAGTACGTTCAAGCACAAATTCACAGACACGAATCGCCTCTTCCTCCCTGTACGAGGGTCGCAGGCCTCAATATCCACGTTGTACTCCTTATTGGCATCACTTATTTGATCCTTATGCGTGATAAAATAACATAAAGCTGCAGATCTGACTTATACTGCAACTATAGTACTTTCATTCTGGAGTGATTGTAAAAATAAATCTGCTTCACAACACGCAAAAACGTACCTTCTTTTTTAATCCAAGTGAATTTAAGCCATTACTTTTAAATTACATCTTTCACGCAGCAATATACAGATGTACTTATCCTCTTCAAGTCTCCTTTTTATTGACGGCATGTATAATCACACGCACCTCATAAAACATTTATTGATACATAAAGGCATTATTGCCTTCCTTTGAATTAATGCAATCATTTTCACAACTGCCATTTCCGGCTCGACTTTTTAAAAAATTAAAGCAACCCAGAAAAATATGTTTCCTGGCCGAAATATTAACAATGGATCCGCCGCATTGTGTGAAAAGGGGGGGAAATGGCGTCTGTTATTTTACAGCATGTTATTACATCTATTTTACGAGGACCCCGTCAGTCTATAAACCATTTTACTGGCATTGAGGGTATCGGGACGATATTATAAGAGTTTTCCTCAAATATTGAGATGCAGAGAATCCGTCTTGGTGAAGTGAGTGTGTGTTTGTGTGTGTGTGTGTGTGTGCGTGGGAAGGGGGGGGTCTTATTCCTTTTTTGTATTGTTGCAACATCCTGCAGCCTCAAGCTCATGAGAAACGGAGAAAAAAAATCATTTGCATTTATTTGAGCGATGGTTTTCTCCCTCAAGTCACATCTGACGGAGCTTTTTATTATTTGCGAAATGAAAAGCGAAATTAAACCTGACGAGGAAAAGAAAAAAAAACCGAGGGAGCCCGGACAGGATTGATTTACTTGCTGTATTGGTAAATATGACCACGTGATCCATGTAACCAATCCCTGTAGATGCAGGCCAAGCAAAAATACCATGATTGTTCATAGAGGGAAGCTTCCCGTAACAGTGCAACCCTTATTATATGAGTAGGAAGAGATCAAAAATGTCTTCCAGTGGCACTCTCAGTAACTGCTATGTGGACGCTATCATGGGGCAGGAGCCGGAGGATGTTTACGGCGCTCGCTTTCTCCAGGCTCCACACTCGGTGACCCCGAGGCCGTCAGGTGCCGGGGACAACGCAGACTTCTCCTCTTGCAATTTTGCACCAAAGTCCGCCGTCTTCCCCTCGTCGTGGTCCTCGATTCACCCGCAGGGAATTTATCATCCGTACGCGCACCACCACCATCACCACCACCAGTCCCCGCATCTGCCCGCGTCGGACGGCAGATACGTGGGCGTCCGCTCCTGGATGGACCCCATCTCCAACCACGTTTCGTTCGCCGGATTTCACGCCGGCAGCCGCTCGTACGGGACAAAACCCGAGGTGCTGCCGCCCAAAGCTGCGGCGGAGTGCGACGCGTTGGAGGCAGAGGCTCGGCCGCTGGAGTTCGCTTGTGCGGCGTCGGAGTGTCCGGAGAAGCCGAGCAAAGAGCACAGTGGCAGCGAGCTGTCGAGCCACAGCGAGCCCAAAGAGGAGAAACAACAACAACTTGACCCAAGTAAGTAAACGAAATAGCCTGTAGTGATTTACAGCCCCAAGAACTGTATGAGCTGGGTGTGTAAAACTGGAGGTTTTACTAACCTATAAAAATGTCTCGAGCTATACCGCGGCTCGGGAAGGGGAGAAAAAACCCACCCTACATGGGTTATTACAGGGGGATCTTAAACTCTTTCATGTTACAGGACACCCAAAATAGATACAGTGCTGCATTTCGATAAGATTTTACCTGAGGGCTGGATTTAGGGAACATTCACTTTCTTCATTTTACAAGAACCCATTGGAAAAAACACGTAAAAGTCTTCTTTACGCATCGTTTATCCCCAAAAATAAATCTGAATTCTCATCTTGCTTTTTATTCCTTGTATTCAATATCACCCAAATTCACTTTGAAACCCATTTACTGAAATTATTTAAGTTGAATTTCAACATGTGCCTCTTGTCTTTCCCCCCAGACAACCCTGCAGCAAACTGGATTCACGCACGCTCCACGAGAAAGAAGCGATGCCCGTACACGAAATATCAGACTTTAGAGCTGGAGAAGGAGTTCCTGTTCAACATGTATCTGACACGAGACCGGCGCTACGAGGTCGCCCGCATACTGAGTTTAACCGAGAGACAAGTGAAGATCTGGTTCCAGAACAGGAGGATGAAAATGAAGAAGATGAACAGGGAGAGGGGCGGCAAGGAGCTGCTATGAGTCCCCTGCTGCTGCTGCCATTTCACACGTTTCCATGTTTGTACCAACTGACGCCATCTGAACCATTACATTTCTTTTTTGGTAGGAGCCTCGATGGCCATTCTTTTAAACTTTCTTTTAGCAAAATGTTGAGTGTGAGTGTCACTACTTGTATGCCCAATGCGCAGGAGTCTGTCCCGGTGAGACTGGTACAGACAGGATCCCTCATCAGAGACTTTAGCCACTCGGAAGTTTTCTGTTTCTACTTTTTTCCACACAATCACAAAGTGATGATTGTTGAGCAGTCCCCCTTTCTCCCAAGTAGGAAACGTGCCTATATGTGTATTGCTTTTATAGTTGTTAAGAATTTGGAGTTGTGTATATATAAAACACTTTCACAGCTAAACTACTTTGACTACTGTTTGTCTCAGGACGCACACTATTACGCAGACTGTGGGTGAATACTGACCCTGCGTTGCCTTCTGGAAAAACCTTAAAACAAGAAAATCAAATTCTACATTTCATTTTAAATATATACACGTATATACATATTTCCCTTTAATTAACACATTTGACAACTTTTATTCCCTGCGTGCTGCTGCTATTTTGTGACCTATTTTATTTTATTTCTTCGTAAACCAAAACATTAGTCCCTGAGGCTTTGTTTGCACAAACGCTGCTTGACTCCAGAAACAATTTCATTCAGGCAAATAATATAACGCACAATTTAACCATGCGGAATCACTCGACTTCCTTATTTGCAGCCAAACTAAATCAATAGATTTTCAATCCAAAATAGGCTTAAATTCTGCACGAGCCTTTGTTAAAATCCACTTTTCTGAATGTTGGATTTGAACGGTAGAAAACACAAGTAGTAAAGTGTTTACGACATGGGAGAGGTGTCGCGGCGCATTTCCAATTTATTGTTCAACTTGTACGAAGAATTGCTTTAAAGCAGGAAGAGACGTGGTCCAATAAAACGATAGAAATGGCTAGACGTCTGGGCTAAATGAGTTTATGGCAGGTAATTACACCCCCTCCTTTGAAACTCCTTTTCTTTTTCTGAGGCGTTTGGGTCTGTTGCTGACAAACAGAATGTGGATACTTCTCTTTTTTTCCACAGGGTGTCTGTTCGATGAATTGTTTCAGAGGAAATCAACCCCCCACCCATCCACCGTAATGGTCACGTTTATTCATCAACTCCACTTCCCACCGATGGGAAAAAAAAACTTAACTTTGACTGGTGTGTGATGCAGTGGCGAATTTCCTCTGATTTAAAAATGTGGTGTGTCCAGGTTTTTACCTCAAATAGGCTGGAGTAACATTTATACTTTATATTATTACTGATTTATACAAATGTTCAACTGCAATATTCAAATGATCAATAGATAAATAGGTCGTTTTAAAATAGGCTCCAATGTGTTTGCATTTACATTGTAGCACCGGTCTACGTTGGAGTAGTACTGGTATCGCTAGAGGGCGATGTTGATCTTTTAGTCCCAGTCCCAGCAGTGTAGTCAAAGCTGGAACATGCAGACATTTACACAACACCTCATGCAACCTATTCACAGATTCAGTCATATATATAAAAAATACTTGTCCTGTATATCTCTATTGGTATACGAATGTTGGGAGGAATTCTCTAAAAAGTCCAGAGAAGTAGATTTGACATCAAAGCTACTAAAAAGCATCTTCAAGCTTCTTTTAAAAACCTTAAACTCTAAATGTGTGTTTATTAATCGCTCCTATTAGTTCCTCATGTAGTTGTTAAAATATTCAGAGGCAACATTCCAGCACTTTGTCATTTTAATCCATACGGAAAAGGGGGAAGAAAGTTCCAGGAGCAGCCTCTGTTTATCACCATTTACATTAACTTCCTTGCAAAGTCCATATCCTCTCATCAACTCAACCCCACTGATTTATTATTTCTGAAAGTATGCAGCATAGTAAGTCCCCTGTTGTCTTTGTATATTAATCCTGGCCTAATGAAAATACTGATGGCAGACTCGTATTTCATTTTACCAAACGTCACAGCGACTCATGCGCAGCCACTGGTTTTTATCAAGGCCACACACAAAGCGCTGAGGCACTGTGGATCCTCTCTTTTTGTTGTTGCTGTAGATATGTCGAGCTCAGACGTGGTGCTATACTGGGCCTATAGGGAAGGAAATATCCTATAGATATGTTCCTGTTTTCCAAATGGTGCAGCCTCCTCCATTTTTAAAAGCACTGCATGTGTATAAAACATACCTGGAACTAAGAATAATTAACAGTCGGGTTAATTGCAGTTTGAGTGACCCACAAAACACTCCAGGCCTCTGAAGTCTTCTGATCTCCATTAGGCCATGAGGCGTTCACTGTACATGTGGCTGACTTTCAGCGGAAATATACGCGCTTCAAACATCACATGACTCTTATCTGACACATTGGACGTAGACGCTTTACTACTCCGTGTCCCGAGGAGTTGGAGCGAACGTGTCTTCAGTCGTCGCCGACGCCACTAGAAACGATGATTGTCATGAGGTCTCCAGTTGTTTCGAGCAACCAGACAATGACAGCCATTGGCAGCGCGCGCAGAGCACAAGATGGATGCAACAATATTGAAGCAATCAGAGAAACGGCTGAATCGATTATTTGAGCCTTGATGCGACATTTGATGATGAACGCTACGGCATATAATTATGTAATTACTGCTGACTTTCATTGCTGGAGACTTGACCCCAGAGTGACGACGTTCTACGTCTTTATTTGAATAAAAAAATACATGTGGCAAACCGATTATGCACGGGTTTTACGCACACAATAACTGGATTAAACACTGCGTATCTGGGCATGCGCATGGAGGATTCCATGCAGTCGTCCTGGCTGTACTGTTGAAGGCTACAGTCATGTGTCTCTTGACTTTACAGGTCACGGGTGAGGTCAGTTATTTCACTCTCACCATCAGCTGCGTTCACGTTACTCCCTGTTTGTTGCTGCACATCCACAGACTTGTGGTGCAGCGTTATTTCTGTCAGGGCTGCATAGGCCAAGATGTCGTGGCTGTGAACATGAGCCGATGTGGAGCACAAACCCACTCCCTCCCTAATGTTGAGCTTTTCTATTAAATGTAAGATTTAAAGCAACACAGGAAAAAAATGTCCAATCGCAAAAAAACAACAAAAAACACCACGAGATGATATAGGACTTTGCTTGGCTCCTAATTATCACACTCAATGTTAGTGTGCATATGTTACTGTTTTAAAATACATATCCATTTTTGATCTATTCTCTTTGCAACATAAATATTCTTAGCACATTATTTTTCAGTTACTATTTTCAACTTTAGATTCCACACTGCACTGTTTTTAATTCGTTTCATTTTCCTTTCATCCGTTGAAGTTTAAACAGATCGAGGTTTTGATGCGGCTCTAATATTCTGGTTTTGTGGATAATGAGAAGGAAGAAAGTGCAACACGAAGCCTTGTCATAAAACACTGAGAGATGCTGTTTCGATTTCTTACAGAAGAGATAAAATCTAACACATTGAAATATTGTGGCTTCAATTCAAACCACTACTGGTGGAAGATCCACCAAGATGATCAGTGGAGTTTTGACTCGCCCATTAGTTTGTGATTCCTTTTAATTCATGATCAAAGCAACAATACTGTATTTGTTCCAGGAACTACAGTAAAGTATCAATGCACACACATCACTGCAATTACATTATCAGTGCAACTAACGTCATGGGGAGAAAACATGAAAAGAATGGAGAAAGAAAAACACAATCACAATCGAGATGTAGCCTCAGGGTTGACTTCTGAGGAATCAGGCCGTTCCGGAAATTACATTCGGAGCCCTGTGGTCACAGCAAACCGGAACATCTGAGCCTATCAGAACATTATGTCACATTGACCGTAAACCCACCACACACTGTCCTGTTAGACTCTGCTTGGGAGCACGTGTCAAATTTCTAAATTCATTTACATTTTCATTCAATAATAAAACGTCTTTATCTTCTAGAAATCTCTTAGTATTTGGAGACGACAATACGCGCGGAAAAAGAGTTGATTTATCCAGTTTAATAATCTTGGATGTTTGTCTTTATTAACGTAACTGGTATAAAAATGGGTTAATTTGGCCTTAGACCATGACGACTACTTATGACTATACAGAATATGAAAACATGGAGGCCTGCAGCCCTGTGACGTGCTGAGCTGGTGGTTGCCACATATTTTTTAATGTGCGAGGTAACACTGCTGCAGCTGTGTGTTATATAGATTGAGAACACACACACACACAGACACGCACACACACAAGCAACGTCTAGCTTCCTTTTTAGTCACACCTAGGACATTTATTCATTTAGGCCCCATAATAAAGTTTGTGCTTTACATTTTAAAAGGCCCACACGTGCACCCTGTGTACATTATTAATAAATCATGTAATTCAATTTCTATCATGTTCTAAACGCTATTTATTTTCCATAATCTAATGCCACTGATTGGTTTCTTTGGTTTGTGGCTCTCATCCATTTACTTAACGCATTATATTATGGAGCCGTAGCACCGTTCTTCTCAGTGCAACGTGGCCACTCTCTCTCCATCTGTGATGTCCAATAAAAAAAGGCGGTAACTTCACGACAGAAGAATGAGCAGATAAAATAGTCCCGTATCTTTGCACCGCGACTAAAGCGACGTTAATCCAGATTCTCTTTTTCTCCAATAGAACCATCTAATCCACATAGATTACAGTGGACTATAGTGTTACCATACTGTCATAGTCGTGTAATGCAACAAATCCTGATCTCTTGCATCGCCATTGCGCGTAACACACACACACACACACACACACACACACACACACACACACACACACTCACACTCTATAAGACAGGAAACCAGAGACAGAGCCTGACTATAAATCGCACATGCTGACTCTGGCATGCCACCAGATGACCGAGAATGAAATGGAATAAATTCCTTTTTGCTGCACAAATATTCACACACAAACAATAATGCACTTGCAACAATTTAAATGTCGAGAAGAGGAAAAACCAAAATGAAATTATATGCAGTTATGATTTAGCCCACATCTCTTGCAAAATATTTCGTTCAGGGACTCGTAAGGAACTAGAACAATAGCTGTGCGTCAAGATGGAGGCCAGCGTCAAAATATAAATATTTATTCTTATCTTAGTTGTGACCAAAAAAAAGCCCACTGCTTTTATAATGTGCCATTGTGTTGACATTTACTGCACAGGCCTCCACACTGAAAAAAGCCCAAAAGAAGAGAAACACCCAATCTCGTTGTTCCTCGTTAGTGCGTAAAGCTTCCACTCGACGCAGAATGATTTATAATTACGCCTAAAATGTTTCTTTATTATCAAACTTTAAACAGTAATAGATTGTCCTTCATTGTGGCCTAAGCAGACATTGTACCATCATGATTTTTTTAAATAGCGAATAAATTAAATGTTCACCAAATCTGCTCTGTGTTGCAGCTTAAACATTTGAAGGCTACGAAGTGTGTTTTCAGATGGAGCCTTACATTTAATGGTGAAGTTGCCTGATAGAAACAGAAAACAGAATAGTGGGGCGACCTTATTGTGTGTTTTTTCTCTCTAGAGGACATGGAGGGGCTTCAGCCATTATGCGCAAAGATGGGGAGCACTGCTGCAGTCGAAATTCCTTTTTGTGAGAGGACAATTTACAACTTGGTAATAGACCTTTTTATGTGCCTCCATCGCCTGTCATTGGATGCCACTGGTCATGTGTGAGAGGCAAACGTCTTCATGGCTCTTTTCCTGATTTCCCAGGCGATTCTTTTTCCCACTGCATTCTGCGTCTATGCTGCTCAAACCGATGCGCCACGCTCAGCTTTGATATTTAAAAAAGAAAAAGAAAAAAGAAAATTCCCACTCATTCGTTTCATCAACGTCCGGTCTGCTGTTATCTGCGGCACAAGAGCTGCCTCCTTCTCCTGGATGACAAGAGGAGCGTTTCAACTTCCTCACTGTCTCACCTCGTCTTTACAAACAGCAGCAGCAGCAACAACACTGGCTTTTCCAGAAAAAACATCCTAATGCAGCGCATAAGTCAAAGTCCCAGAATGGACATGGATTACCTCCTGGTTATAGGTAAGATTTGATTCTGAGCGTGTGAAAACAGCTTTTCTTTCCATGTGCATGTGAAGTTTGACAGCTTCCTGTTTCATTAGTCATGTAAATTAACTGAAGGGTCATATGCAGCTCGCCGGTAGTTTGGCGAATTCACGTGTTTGTAGGTGTGCTGCAATAAATGGTTGTTAATGATTTAGACGTGGAAATGTTTGAAGATTTGTTTTAGCGATGATTGAAAGATGTTTTACAGCCTTTATGCTGCACGAATAACTCAGAAATTATTGTGTGCGAATGCTGGATTTTAAATGGATTCACTTGTAAATATTTTGGGAAATGTGTTGGTAATTTTGCTGTCATGTCGCTTCAATTTGAAGACACTGATGATTGGTCATTGCAGTATTCTCAACACATATTAAGAGCTTGTTTAATTCAATCTTAGTTTTCGTTTTGAATCTTTGTCAACGAGCCTTTCCCCCCATTTCCCCTTCTGTTATGTGACACTGAGCCCCACACTTGTATGATCTTGCGTTTCCTCAGCCACCAGAAAATCTGCATCGCTCCCCTGAACCCACTTTATCTGCGCACACTCGTTCCACTTGCTAAAAGAGAAACACCGCACTACAATGGCCACAGAACAAATCGGCGTTGCTGTATATTGCACACATGCAGGTCTGCAGGCAGAAGAGGCTCAGTTTTCATAGCTGCTGTGTTCAGCTGCCTGGAGATGGGGGCCAACTGAACAAAGACAGTATTTCACCGCTGGCTGACAGGCAGCTGCGAAAGTATTTACAGCCTTGCTGCAATGCGGCAAAATGGACACTGTGGAAGACAGCAGGCTCCAGTGCAAAGCTGAGGAAATAAGACAGGATTCAGTTTGTAATGGTGAAATCTGGAGGTGTATATAAAGCTTCTTTTGTCTCTGTTTATATATGTAATTATGTAGATCAGTGTCTGACCACAGGGCCTGCATGTGCACATTTTAACAGAGCATGCAGCTTCCATGTATGGACGTGGTTCCATCCTTCATTCAAATCCATTCACATTTATTTTCGGCTCTTTTGTTTCATTGTGACACAGTGGAAGCTTCTATAAACAGGTTTTTACATATTTAAAACCTAAGAGATACAGCAGCTATTATTTTCTATTTCCTTGATTCTTTATTTATTTATTATTTGTTCCAGTCATATAATCCAATTATTGCACTGATTTAATTACTTAAAAATATTTGTTTTAACTTAATCACCATCTTCCCAAACGAGTTTATTTTTTGCTTTATCTGCTAAATAACGAGTATTAACATCTAGCCTACACTGCAGAAGATTCTCAAGTGGCCTTCCGGTGGAAATCAATGACTCATTCTGTCTATACTTTTCAAATATTATGAGATTTGCAAATTCAGACTTTAGAAATGAAGATAACCTTTCAAATAGGCTGCCAGATGATTTCTTCTTCTTTGTTGAATTAAATCAACCAAATCTTGAGTCATATATCAGCAGCTCACTTGTTTTAAAAAAATCGACTTTATTGAACGAATATTGTAATTGCATGTGAATATTTGAAAGCTCAATATCACTTCCTTCTTCCTCTTTGCGCATCTGCACCAAGAGCTTGATGAAAGATACCATTTCTTTAAATAGCTCGTGTGGATATATGGACATTTTTTACAGTGGGGAGGGGGGGGGGGGGGGGGGGGTCGTTAAAATTCCAGCAGAAGGCGCTGTTGCCCAACACTCAGCATCACTGCTCCCACCCTGCAGTCCTTTCCCGGCAGCCTCCTGGGCGCTGTGATTGGCTGAGACGCGTGGTCATGTGATGTGGTTCTTGTTTGAAAGTGGGTTTTGGAGAACTTGTGTTTGAGTTTGTTTCAGATGAACGATGAATGATCAGACATTGTGAATAGATATAAATGCATCTGAGATATTTTTGTATTTTTAGCGGTTTGATGTTTCCTGTTTTCAAAGTAAAACAGAAAACTGTTGATCGTATTATTCTCACTCACAGCTCCCATGGGAGACTTGGACAGTTTCAAGATGTCGCACAGACAAGACCCCACATTGTGACAGATTCTTAATCTTATATTCTGACATCATCCTCCTGATGAAGAGGATCCTGAGGTTAAAGAACATATTTCAGAAGAGAGCTTGTGGACATGACATTTCCTACAAGCATTACATTACAGATACACAAGGAAGGATGCTGCTCATACACCCAGGGGGCGATGCTGGGGCTCTTACACAAGAATATTTTTTTACGAGGACATGCATGTAGAAAGTGACAAGCCTCTGATCTGGATATGATTCATCTTATTACCTTTCTCTACGTGGCGAGCATCCAAACATTGGACCTCATCATGCAGCTCAGTGTGCAGCTTTGGACAGGAAAGGGAGGGGCTAACGTCTCCTGCGCTCTGGGATTGGTCCGGAAGGATGAGTGACATCAGTCTTGTTGTGGCAGGTTCACTGGTGGTGGTGGTGGGGGGGAGAGACGTGTGTTTTGGCACGAGTCAGTGACGCACGTTGAATGTTTGTGTTTTACATTTCGAGGTCAGATTGCAGCAGTGGATTCATCTAAGTTGAGATGTGCAAGAATGTTCAGAATTTTTAGATTCAGACGAAATGATTGTGAATGTTAATGAGCAGATGCAGTTATGAGACTTTTCTCTTCTGCTAATTACTTCAGTCAAAATGAGATAACATACTGAAAATTATATTAAAACGACTTCTAATTTGAATCCTAGTGCATTGTTGTTCCCCTGTGCGCAATGACAGCCCCTGCAGCCCCTCGGCTTCCTCGTTTCCACGACTTTTCCTCGGCGCACATCAGTGTAATCGGCGTTATTGAGTAAGTGCAACTTTGAGGGTTATTTATGGGCCAGCGCGCCGCCGTGAATGGCTGCGAGGAAACACGTGACACCATTAAAGTTTGTTTTATGGCCTGAGACTTGACAAGCCAAAATATAATTCTCATTGTGTATTAGTAGGGAGCGTGCAGATGGGTTGGAATAGAGCTGGACTTGGCAGCAGCGGCGGTGGCAGCCAGATTCCTTCTCTTCTTCTTCTTCTTACTGCTCCTGCGTGCGTGGATGCGTTTTGTTGGCTCGCCATGAGTTGCGGTCTCTGCGGTAAGCTGCGTTTTATCATCGTGCTCGTGGTGTGCTATGGGCGTGTGATGTCATCAGTGCTGCTTTTACTGTCAATGCTGCAACAGTGCGAGCTCCGGATGGTCTCACAGAAAATGTGCTGCTCTATGAGAAGCTGCGTGTAACTCTGGTCCGTGTTTTGCGTTTAAAACATTTTTTTTCCATGATCCAGTCGGTGCCTTTTTTGTCTGGATGTTGCTGAAGTGATTCCCTGTCACATGATTTTGTTATTGTGCAACACCGAGCTTCTTATTCGCTAATTTCTCATATATTGTAAATATAAGACTCATTTTGTTGAAGATTTGTTTGATTTTCTTGATTTAATTCAATTAAAACGATATATATATTTTTTTATTATGAATATGTTCTTATAAATATGTTATGGTTCCAAGTTTAATCACAATTCGTTTCAATGAGATTAACTTTAGCCGAACTGGATTTTATAAACCACAAAAATCCTGCAAGAAAAAACCTGCACTACCTTACACAATAAAGCCATTTTAAAATTCTCAATATAACCGTCACTGCAGGCCTAATGCATTTCAATTATAGGCCTTTAAATTATTAATTTGCGCCACTCATTGTGAGGGATCCAGTCTAATGATTAAATGGGTTTATTTGGAGTATTTAAGCTTTACTTTTTATTCTTGTCAGTCAGAAAAAAGGCTTCACATGAGGCCTGCTTATCCCGAAAATTAGATTAAGCAGGCCTCATGTTTTCTGTCGCTGCCACACGATCACACGAGGCTTTATTTCTGTTTTAAAACGTGAAGGAGTGCAGCTGCAGCTTTGAGGCTTTTCGTTGAAGTGGGGCTGCTGCAGGAAACGCTGACTTTATCTTTCTTTTGTTGGGATTCTCGGCTTTGACCCGTCTGCAGGACTGGCAGGGGCAAGGTGACAGACAGGTCAGCCTGTCTCACAAACACTGAAATGTGAAGTGCAAGAACGACATTTAAAAAACGAAAAAAAGATTATTATTTCATGGCCTTTAACTGCGGGTGAAACGATTGTTTTATGCTTTTACTGGAGTTTAAAGAGGAATTTACAGCCTGAAGCTGCGTCATGATTAAAAGTTGACCTCTCCTGTTTTATTCTCGCTCGCTGGGGGCCTGTATGATAACTTTCAACTTTGAATTTTAGGGCTTTGCTCTATTTCAATAAAGTCAGAATATTGAATCGTAGTCAAAACTATTTTGCTCATATTCCAGTAAATAACTAGTTAGTAAAATTGTAACTATTTGCTTAGTTTATCCTAATAAAGAAGGAAACTTTATGTTTGGCCCAATATTTCTTCAAACTTTCACAATCGTGCCATTGAGCCGTAGAGTCATATTTTGCCAGAGATAATTACCTAATAATTTAATCTGACTGTAACCAACTCAATGCGTAATGCAGCTCCCCTAAATCCTTCAAATGATTTTGGGTGGATTTCTTTACATTTCAAAATTGAAGCTAAATTTCTCAAATTCAATTTTTTGATAAACATATTTAGTGGGAGTTGAATCATTAGAATATATGTGTGTCCCTTTTCACGAATAAATATAAGACCTCAGTTTCAATCGTTCCCAGCCTCCAACCATTTGTAAAAGATGATTTTTTTGCAGTATGTGGTCGCCATGGTGGTTTGGTTAATGGCTGACGAGGGTTTGGTAAACTTTTGCACCCTTTGAGCTGTCAGCAGAGCCGAGAAATAATCGAAGTTTTTGATAACTTTGTAAATGATTCGGTTTGACCTCGGTGGCCTCTGGCCCCATCTTTTGGCCACTGGTGATAAACACTCTGCTTGATGAGCCTGGTATCTGCTGATGCGTTTACACCACTGATCTCTTACCGGACAGAGAAGCTTATATATTTGATTCTGAGCTGGAAACTGGTTTATATTCTTCTTATTGTCTATCGTTTTGGGAATGTGGAGTTTAAAGGAGAGCCGCTGCACAGAATCTTTGGTTGACCTGCAGTTTACAGGCTCATGTTTTCGTTCAGTGTGGTTTTCTCTCTTGACGTGTTACAGCTGAAAATGACAGGGATGGCCCGGTCAGCTGTGCCCTGAGGTCCTGTTTGACTTGTTTCTTGGAGAAGCTTTGACTGACAGGGACTTTTTGAAGCCACTGTGTGACTAAGTTTTGATGCAACGTTACAGAAAGTGAAAGAGAAGGAGAGGCTTGTGCTGGAGAAATGCAACAGAAGGAAATCAGCAAAAATGGGAATAAATGGATGATTCATTGAGAGAAAAATAATTGAAACCATAAAGTGACACTCAGATATTATCATAACCCATAATAAGACTTATTCAGTGGGCGTTGTCGCCTTTTGCCTCTTATTTCCTGATGCAACCCCATTTCTGTGTTTTCCACCCTCAGTCTTCGGCACCTTCCAAATCCAGTTTTTGTGATTCATGGGCCCAATGGTGGTCGCTTCCCGTCGTCTATATATACCCTGTAGAACCGAATTTGTGTGATGCAACCACAGTCACAGATTCGATTCTAGGGGAGTATATGGTCGATGAAAAAACTTCGATTGATTGGCGTTCATCGGGAGCTTGGTGGTGCGCGCACAGGCTACAGTGACAGTGAGTTTTATGAATGAGAGTGGATCTGACAACAGCACATGCTTCATAAGAGAGAGGCTCCTGTGGGGGCGTGCTGAAACTCTAGAGGCTCCCAGGGAATCTGATGCAAAATGTTTCACATGTTTGAGGACGGGGGCTGTGGATGATGTTTGTGGTTGGAGTGCAATGGATTTGGTAAAAGTGCGCGCACACACACGCACAATCCAGCTGTATCTTCTCTCTCCTGTGCGTTCGTTTCTGTCTCTGCATTATTGATTCCCAGAGGCTGCTGCTGCTGCTGCTTTCAGCCAATAGGCTCCTGCATGAGACAGTTTTTTTTTGTGGTCAAAGGGATGGGAGCAGATGAAGTGATGAGATTCGTGTAACTTTTGGATGACCCCTTCTTGACAAAGACAGTGTCCATCAATTGTCCTCAGTCATTATGCGCTGCTTTTATGCCAAGGGGCTTTTTGTGTCTTTTGTTGGTTTCTCTGTTCAACACAGCGCCTTCAAGTTAGACTTTAGAAACTGATATGTTTGTATCTACACGGAAAAAAACAACCTCGTGCAACAATATAAGTTTATTTAGGAATTTTATAAATTCTAAACACATATTGAGATGTATTTAAACCATGCGTGTTTTTTCTATTCATTTTTCGGCTTCATTTTCATTTTTTCTCACGTGACTCTGTTTAAAAGCTTTATTATGATTGTTTTATTCCCACAGGGGTTTGATTTAGACGCATCTTAAGTTGTATCAAATTGCTCTTAGTTGTATGTTTACTCGCGTGTGGACCAGCATCACCTCCATTGGCCGATCTGGTCACATGGTTCGCTAACTTTATTCAGTTGACACCAAGTAGGAGGGCTTTATGGAGGGAAGGGGAAAAAAAGACAACTCGAGAAAAATTAGTATTTTCTACCTTCAGAAATTAATGGCCATGAGTTCGTATATGGTGAACTCTAAGTATGTGGACCCGAAATTTCCTCCCTGCGAGGAATATTCACAGAATAACTATATACCTGAGCAGGGCTCGGACTACTTCAGTCCATCGCAGGACACAGACTTTCAGCATCCAGGGATCTACCCACGGCCAAACTACACGGAGCAGCCCTTCAGCTGCACCACTGTGCAGGACTCCACGGTGCAGCCACGGGGTCATGTGCAGGAGAGATCCGGCCACGCGAGCCCCTTTGACGCACAGACTGAGCAGGGGGCCCCGGTGCCAGTGGCCGGACCCCGGACTTGTGGACAGCAGCAAAACACAAAGAGTCAAAATGGGATACAAGCCAAGCAGCCTGCAGTAGTTTACCCCTGGATGAAGAAAGTCCACGTAACTACTGGTAAGTCTCCTTCTTCTTATCTTCCTCTAATATGGACCCAGTGAGAGCTGCAGTTTAGAAATCATTCAGTGCAATATTTATGGGAGTCTTTGAAAGGCCTCGCCAATTACACAAGTCATAAATTTTTATAGCTCAGGAAATAGGCCGCGAGGTGAGCGCCTGAAAGCTCCTGAAAACACATATTGACCGCTTGTAATCGTGCTTCAATCTGCTTTAATCCACTTTCAAACCATTCATAATTTCCTGCTCGGGCTTCCATGTGAATTGTCTTAAAGTTTGTGCGCCTCGGGTAAAAAAATTGATAAAAAGAAGGGAACCCACTCCAGTATTGTTTTTGCCTGCATGCTACACTGGCCACATTTGGTGACTTCTTTTGTGTGTGTGTTGTTTTCTTTTCCCAACAGTGAACCCAGATTACACGGGACCTGAGCCCAAACGGTCCAGAACAGCCTACACCCGGCAGCAGGTCCTGGAGCTGGAGAAGGAGTTTCATTTTAACAGGTACCTGACCAGGCGGCGGCGAATCGAGATTGCGCACACGCTTTGTCTCTCCGAGAGGCAGATCAAGATCTGGTTCCAGAACAGACGGATGAAATGGAAGAAAGATCACAAGCTGCCCAACACCAAGGGCAGATCCGCACCAGCCTCCAGCCATCTGCAGAGCATTCAGAAGGATAACCAGACTGATATCACAGCATTATAAGGAAGGATGGATGGAAAAGAAGGAAGGAGAGAGGTGCCATGTCTTATTAGAAGTTAACTGTACATAAAAAAGACAAAGGTTGCATCTGACTTTTTTTGCATGGACTGATGTCGTTCTTTACCTTTATTATTTTTTAATTTAACAAAAATGACCCCAGCAGTGTTGACTCAAGACTGAGTCAGAAAATCAATCAGTCCTTGTAACTGAGAGATTTTTAGTTTTGCAAGTTCCTTCTTTTAATTTCCTCAAAGAGACACAAATGCATCGAAACTTTAATTTTTTCTTTACTTTTCTTTTTTCTTTTTGGGACGTTTCACCTCTGAAGACATTTAATGATCATCCTTCGGCAGATTTCGTGGATTTAAACCAAGTGTCTCTGCCCCTCTTATAACATGGATCCACAGACGTCTTTATGCAGAACAGGGAAGCCCTTCGTTCCAATTACGCACAAAGGTTATTTCAGTTTTATTTTTCCTCCTGGTGAAACTTCATATTAAACGCACAATAATAAATAAACACATGCATATATCGGCCTATATATATATATATATATAAAATATATATACTTGAAGCATTTATTTGCATAGAGGCACGCCAAACACAATTTCGTAAATCGCAGAATTCCCGCTGGATATTTCAGTTCCACGTTTTTCTTTGTGACTTGTATGTTTTTAACTTATTTTGTACAATAAAGCTTTGAGAAAAATAAAAATTTCTAAAATAGCCTAAAAGCAAGACATTCCTGTTTGCAAACTATTCTGAGTGCCCTTATAAATCTCTCCTGACATCTTTGTAAACAGTGTACATTTTCAGAGGCTCTCTCGTGCCATCTGAAACCCTACATGAAAGATCATTTGTTTCCTGCATGGCATCGACTTACTTCGATATTGGATGTTTTTTTTCTCTCTCAATCGGAAATTATCAAATCCAGGATATTTAGGATTATTATAATAGTTTATTTTTCTCCTTTGAAATGAATTTCCACGTCATTATTTATTTGTTTAAAGAACGTGTACATTTTTTCGTGTAATAGCACACATGTATTTTTTAATTAAAAAGTATTCGTTAAACTTTAATTAATCTAGGAAAATATGTTTCTCGTGCGTCATTGGCATGGCTTTACGCAAAAGTTTTTCGGTCTCAGTTAAAGTGGGGGCTGGTTTTTTTTTTCTTTTTGAGGTTTCCATTCACACCAGGACAACCGAGGGGGTTTTCACGTCACGTTTCAAGACAGATATTTCTTGTTTTCCACCGTTATTGTCTTCGGACACGCACACAAAAAAAGCCCAGAAGCTCTCCCAGTATCCGAGGAGGTCTTCCCTCTGAAGTCTTCGCGATGAGGGAGTTGAAAAGGTATTTCAAGCGAAGGTCGACAAAGCAGTAGAGGCAGGTTCATCCAGGGGACACGTTTCAGCCGCAAGGACTGACCCCAGCACCCCTGACCCGCCGGACAGGCAGCATTTTCGCTCCCAGGCGCTTCTTAGCCCCCCTCAGAACTGGAGCTTCTTCTCCTCGACACTTACAAAAAAGCTCCAAGAATGCACAGTAAGAGTCAGTGCGTGAAATCCAGTCTTTTACACTTTTTACAATAGTATTTATATCAGACCAAAAGCTTCTGATTTGCGCATCTGTCTCCTCGTGTCAAGATATCGCCTACAGTCTTTTTTGGTTTTATTTTTGTACATGCTTTCTACCTTGTATTGTGCATTGAGATGTGAGAAGTATATTGGAAAGAAAATAAAGATTTCTACTGATTATGCATTTAAATGTTTGCAAAATGCACTTTGTCGCGAGATACATTTTTATTTTTCCTACTCTCGAAATCATTTCACATTTTCCCTCTGTTACTGAGGATTTTATATTTTCTAAAATTTCTGAAAACTAAATTTTAATTTCAATGTATTCAACACCATTAGGGTTTGCATCATTGACAAAAGAAACACTTGTGGTGTGAAAGCAGTGTTTCTTTTTCCCACTGGTGCCACGAACGTGGAGCCAAATGGAGCTCTAGACAAAACACACACAAATGCACCAAACGTTCGCTACTTTGGCAAATTGAGCCTCGTCCCCCGTCAAGTGTGAGAGTTGAAAACACAAATGTGCCATTTTTTACACAATTACTTGAGTTAATATTTAAAAATGGAATAAAGGAGTTTGTATTCCTCCCCATCTCCATTTTCACTCGTTAGCTCTCGTTAGATTAAAGCAACTGATTCTGTGCGTAAAAACATCCTCGTAGAAAAGGCTCTGCAGCTCATATCAAGCTGATTACGTTCAACAAAAAACACATTTAGATCAAAGTTTAATTCAACTCTTTAATGTAGATTGATTTCCACATCACTTTAAAAAAACATTTAAACAAACCCAAATGTCCATAAAGTCCACTGTCCTCCTCAGACTCAAACTCACAAAGAGAAACTTTTCCAGATTTCTTCGTTTCGCTCCAAAACCAGATTACGTCCCATTGATTGCTGCTGTATAACATTACGCACACATGATATAAGCAACTGTAGGCTTGATTTTAGACCTCCCCTCCCCTCCCCCACCACACACACACACACACACACACACACACACACACAGACACACAGACACTCACACACACACACACCTTTATTGAAGATGACCCCCTGCAACACTGACCCCCGACCCTCCACATTGCAGGATTCAGTTCTGATCTACACAGACAGTGACCATCTAAACAGACATGTGGAGAAACACTGTGCGCTCACTCTGCAGTGTTTTCCTCCCCTGTGACCACTGTCTGATCCCCACTGACCATCTGCGGACATGTAGACGTGCACAGACGCATACATGTTTATGTGCATGTGTATGTGTACAGACGTCTGTCATATGGATTCACAGAGAAGCTGAGACAAAGTGATGCCACCAATCCACCATCCTGCCATAAATGATCTGCACACAGATGCTGAAGGGAGGATGAGAAGGGGAGGGAGATATAGGTGCTGACAATTGCACATCTAACTAACCTACACTAACTAATACACACTTACTAAAAGACAGCGAGTTCTGATCTTTATTTATTATTCAAAAGTCATTAAACATGAATAAAATGGCCAGATACCAAGATTAAATGAAAAGAAATACTTTTCTCCCTCAGCTGTTCTCAGGTCAGATCAGCCTACTACACACCGTGCAGCGTGTAGCCACACTGACCTACATGTCTGAGCAGCAATAAATGGGAGCCAAAGGCAGTGCCATTTTCAATGACACTGCACCCAGTGTAAGGAACACAACGCCGTTGCTCTCCATCCGGCCATATTTGATTTCCAGCTGGTTTCGCAGAAGCCTCCTCTCTCCGAGCCCAGACCCAAACCCCCTCTAAAGATACATTAAAGTGCGCTGTCTGCATTCAGAGATATCATCCAGAGACCATACCACTCCGCTCTCCACTCCTCGACCACGTGATTGTCTAAATAATTAATGCAGCACGTCCCCCTAGAAACACGGCGTCGTCATTAATCGCAAGGACTCTATCAGACTTGAAAACTGAAGAGATCCCCCAAGAAAATAATATCCGATTCCCGAACGCAAGCGTAAAAAGCCGCGCACTTTTAGCGACACATCCGAACCGATGGATGCTTGGGTAGGTAAATATTTCAGCATTTTCTCATGTTGAGCGCTGTGGCTGCTGAATGACGATATCAAATGTCGTGATATTTTGATAAATTGCTCCTTTTGATGTGTGAGAGGAATTGTGTACGGCTGTGGCTGCAGTCGCTCTGTGCATGTCGCTTTCCTTTTCTTTTCCAAAATATAAATGGTTGTAGAAATTGCAGCCCTGGGTGTCGGAGTTTGCAGTTTTACGCATGCATCTTGAAATGGATTGATAGGATAAGTGGTGAAAACGAAGGGACGCTGACATGTATTTATGGATGCTCACTCTAAATAAATGCTCTTTCGGACACATAGCTCATTGTGGCTCCTCCACTGGGTCCATCAATTCTTTTATTCTGGCTTTAAATCAGATTTGAACCAATTAAGCTCAAAATAAAAAACACATGACTAAATATTTTCTTTGAAAACATCCAACATTTTCAATTCCAAACTGCTTTGTTTTGTTGGCAACACATCTTCTTCTTTTTTTATAGTGGATTTCCACCTCACTATAAGATAAATAACAGGTTATTTATCTCTCCTTTTTCTCTTTGTGGGACAGTCTGTTTTTATTGTTAGAAGGAATGATCTCATTTTGATTTCTCAGAGGTTTAGTGGAAGTTTGGCCAGGCTGACACTTCTGCCTCCTTGTAAATCATTCTCAGTAATTCCTGAAAGGGTGCGAGGCTGTTGGGGGGCCGGGCGAAAACTGTAAATCTTTCACTTTTATTACCCTCCGAACATATGCTGCGACGCTACCAGTCCTGCATCCCTTCTTCTTCTCCTTCTTCAGCTTCTTCTCCTCCTCCTGCTCCTTCCTCTTCTTAGCAAAGATAAAAAACCACCGGGGCTCTGCCGTCGCTCTCTGCGGCTCCAAATCCTCACCTTCAAATTCACCCTGGCCCCTTTCTTTAATCCATTTATTTACCAACTATCAAACAGTGGTATTATTTAATTTAACTTTTATTTTTTCTTTCCTGTGATTGATAGTGAAAACAATGCAGGAGAAGACATGGCTCCCTCACTCTTTGTGTTTCAGCAGAGACACAACAAACAAAAGATGATAATGTGCTTTATTTGAATACAATCCAGTTCCAGATGGAGGAGGGAGAAAAAAACACCACATGTCATTTATTTCATAAATCATTTTCAAAATGCACATCCCACATCTCTGCAGTAATTGGGCGACTAAACATTCATTGTAAAATAATGCATGTGGGTTATTGTATAGGCCAGTTTTATAGGTTGTATTGCGCAAATCCTGATAGTTTCTATTTGCGGATAAATGATGTTAAAAGAAATCCCTAAAAAGGAAGAAAATGTTAAAACTGCTGCAGCATTTAAAACGCACAAATCATTTCTACGCAAATGCACTGCACTACATCCCCCAAACAGTGCACGAGATCACGCACTTCTTTAATACCCAAACAAACCCATATCTGCTCCCATGTGTTTAAATACTGGATGTGGCGCAGGCGAGATGCAATGCTCGCAGTTCAGGGGCAGATGAGAAGAAATGGGCAGTGGAACATTTTCACACAGTTGAGGAGGAAATAAACGCCACCCTTTATCAAAATGGATTGGTGAGGTAAGGCTTGGATGAAGAAGGGAACAATCACGTGAACAAATATGCTTGTATCTTAAGGCAGCGCCTTTATTTGTCACCATAACGCTTCCGAAACAGCCTAAAAAAACCTCACTGATGTTATAGCTCCAAATCTGCACAGGCCTATCACTTTCTGAATTCCTGTATATTCCAATGGGTGATTGATTGCCAGGGATTTTTTTTCTGGAATAAGGATACCTCGTTCGCTTTTTATTGGTAGTTGAATGCGAGTCCTTCCATTCTTTCGGGAATACTGTCTCCATTGGTATATGGAAATGTCTGAAAAACAGCAAGATCAGGTTTAGGACAGCATTGTCTGCAGACAAAGGGTGAAGGATTTATTCCAGTAGAGGAGCTGAGGCTGAGAGGGAAACTGCTCCATGATGAATTGATTCACAGGTAAGCAACTGCGAGGCACAAAGCAACCTTTAACCACGGGTTAATATAATGCAAGGGAAATATTTATGATTTATTCCACTCAGGGAGCTGATGCTTGTTAATGTCGCTCTCTCCAGCGAACCTGCAGCGGATCTGGGATATCCATGCACAGCTACTCCTCAAAAAGCAGCGCTCCAATTCATTTTCTTTCTCAAATATTATCGACACATTGAGCCTGAGCTGCCCTGCTGCTTTTTCCCCCCTTTCTTTTCAGCTGATTTTCTAAATCCTCGACTCGGAGGAAGAAGTAGCAGAGGAACTTTTCTCTTTTTTTTCGCCTCTTGGATCGTAAATCACATTAATTTGTTGTCTTATCGTCACAGTGGCGTTTGCCGTGATTTATGTGGTTTCAACTGTATGGCTTTGTTAACCTGCGACGTTATATTATACATGAGTTCATATTGGATGTTTGAAGGGATGACCGGGCTGGAGAGTCGACAAGGACAAAGGCACATACTCATATTTTCCTGCTGTTTGGACACTTTTCTCTTGCATTCTGGTTATTTGTGGCTCATGCGTAATTTTGTTTATCTACATGGGAATAAACAACATGCCTGGTATATTGTTTATAAGTCAAATATTCCCCATGTGGCTAACATGCTATTAATTATTTGAATTTATCAGCATTTCATCTTTAGCAACTATTTACTCATGATTGTGCGTCTTTTTCAGTTGAATCTTTGAAGGATTGCTGCTGAATTTCTACCGAAAATTACGCATTTTACGCATTTTCTTCAGCAGCACATATTTTCTACAGGAAAAAAAAAAAAAAACTTTGCATTTTCTCACAACAACAACAGCGAGAATTGAAGAATAGTTTTAAATACAATTATTATTAGCTGCTATTATGGTTGAATTCATGTAAATACAAACGCCTCCTGTTGTTGTTTAACTCAGACTCTGAAGGGAATAAGTGAGATAATAACACTCCACACTGACTCCGGCCCTTTTGTGCGAGGCAAACTTACCGTAACAGCGCGTAGGCGAAAAACACTGTGGTTTGAATGGAGGAGCATGTCTGCGACTAGTAGCTCAGTGTGCACCACCGCACTTGAGGCGCTTATTATTGACCAGCATTAACAAATAATCCACACCGAAGGAATTTTAAATCTCCATCATATATTTATAAAAATATTATCCTCAAATGGAAGCTGGCAGGAACACCCATGTTTTCCAACAACAAAGAGAAAAAGAGTAATAAAATATAAATAAGTTTTCTGAGGTTCCATCTCTACTCTCTCGCCGCCGCTCCAGCATCTTGGTCCTCGGCTGAAAATCTGCTCTGAGTTTTGGTTGAGACTTGAGGCTACTTGAAGTCAAACTGCTCGTTGTTCATTAAACTTTGACTTAAATGCTGAATGACCCACAGGTCACCTAAAAAAGCTTATGACTGCTGAATATTTGGCCTGGCTCTTTGTGTAAAAAGTGCACATGCAAGACTTTTCACTCTCAAGCCGTTGAAAGCAGAGAGTAAAAAAAATCATCCCATGTGGTCATTGCAGGGACAATTGACAATGTTCAACTTGAGTGGAAACAAACCAAAATATCATGTGGTCCAGAGACAATTCGAGTTATAAAAATGATTTTTGACTGGAGCTTGAATTAATACATGTCCACTAATGTATTGTTTTAAAAACAGGTGAAAATAACCTGGTGTGGTCCTGGTGCTGAATCTTTATCTTTCTCCACAATATGCTGAATTAAATGTCTATTTATTTTGCTGGGATTTCAAGGGGTAAAAAAAGAAAATCTCCACTTCGAGGACATTTTTATTACATTTTATTTCCCTTCCAGGTCGAGGTGAGAGCAGCGGTGATGAATGCGTGAGGCAAACCGAGGAGATCTGCGCAGATTTCGGTGAGTAACACTTCTTTAATGAAGGGAGTGGACGACACAGCCAACTGCTAACCAGGTGAAAGGGCGATGTGTTATTAGGCTGCATATTAACGCTCTCAGACTTTCACAGGAGGCTTAAATCCCACAAACAGACATGAGGGATGGCTTTAACTTAACCTGGACGTGCCATGATTTACGCACGCAGGCCGGAGTCCCCATTTGCAACACAGCCGCTGATATAAGGCCTAGTTAACGAAGGGAATTTTGTAAAAATAAATACATGTTTACATCTTGCACATTCTCAAATATAACAAGTAGCACATCCATGCAAAACAAAAGGCGTAAAATTAAGAAGAGCTTCACCACTTCATCCCACGATTTCCACACTTTAACGGGTGTAACCTGCTCCATACAAACCTTTCCCTCTTATTAAACCAGTAAAACAGCTCCAGGCTCTCAGCTCGGCGTGTGTGTGTCTGCGGCCTCGCTCTCAGCCAGAATGGAGGCATCATTTATGAGCCGGAGCCTGTGCATGAAGTGGGAGAAGTCGCCGAGTATGAAATTCTTTCCCTTGCCTTCCTCCTACGCGTAGTTTTACACTTCTGAGGGGCTGCGAGTCTCCAGCGCTGTTTTGCTTTTCATTCCTCTCGCAGGCCGTTTACAACCATAACATTTGCGGTCATAAATTTTGCCGCGGTCCACACTGACAGGTGCAATTGTTATGCACGCCGCGCACTGCGCCTCCTCAAGCCACCAACATACAGTAGAGCCGGGGCCCTTTGATATTTGTGTTTTAGTTAAAACACTGACATGATTTCTCTGTTAGATTCTAAAACAAATGGAGCTGCTGTGTAGAAAATATACACTGGAATATTTCTGCTCATTTGTTTTTGCAAACAACATTTTTTTGAATGAAGGGGGCACAAAAGGGAAAAAGACCAACCACCCAAAATATATTTGGTTGGGGCGTAAGATCTAATGAAATATCATATTTACCTCCCACCCCCACCCACTCAATCTGTCTCTCCCTCTCTCTGCCACCCCCCACCCCTCTCTCTCTCACAAACTCACAGCTATCACCTACATTTCTGATACCAACATTAATAACAACCAGTGGAGGGTTTCAGTATTTAGCTATATCTTCTATGCGTAATCATGTGATCCAACATTATGTGAGCCTTGGTGGGCCATATATTTCTGCTGCTGGGGGAACAATGAATGACTGGCTTTGTCAGGCCGTGTGATTAGTGAAAGAGTATTGTGTGTATGCGTGTGTCAAACGCTGATTCAGCTTATTTCTAAGGGACTCCCAAAGCCTCCCAGAGGGTCATTTTGCTGCAAGTTAAACTTTAACTGTTTTGTGCCATAAACAAGTCATGTGGACGGCTCTTGAGTTTTTGGGGGGCTGCAAGTAAAACTGTGGTGTGACGCTTGATATTGGCCTGCAATGTCTGCAGCCTGAGTGTGGGCCCAGACGAGGCAGTCTCCTGTGAATTAGTTTATTTAAAACCTCTACTATAGGGATTGGAGTAATGTAAGGGAAGGCGCATGTATAATGAGTGAAGGCCTCATCCATGAGTACCCACAGGAGTCTGATATATTTCTCTTTGTAGGTCAAAGACTGGAGCAACGGTGGGAAACACCAATCACGTGAATAAACAACACCCATGCCATTGGATAGAGCTGCACTGGCTTATTGGCTTTGAATCTACAAAATGCAGAAAGCAACATATTACGATAACTCTGGACTTTTTGGAAGCTACACCTACCCCAAACCAGACTCTTACAACTATGGCCCGGCACACCAGTCGTACCCTTCTTCCAACATTGAGAGTGACTACCAGGGCCCAGTGTGTCCCATCCAGACCTCTGCCGTCCGGCCTCCAACCCTCAAAGAAAGTGACCTGAACGGAGACTGCATGCGGCAAAACAGCAGTCAAAGCAGCAGCAGCAGCAGCAGCCAGGCCACGAGTATTGGGGAGCAGCAGGCACCACCACTGTCCGCATCCTCCCCCAGCTCCAACAGTCCTACGCCCCAGAAGAAGAAAACCCCATCAAGCAGTGGCTCCAGCTCCTCCACACCAGTCCTCACCAAGCAGATCTTCCCCTGGATGAAGGAGACCCGGCAGAACGCAAAGCAGAAGGGCAACAACTGCACCACTGCAGGTAGAGGTCATAATGGAAAAAGTGTGTGCGTGAGTGTGTATGCATGGGGGGTGACCTATGGTGACCTGGCCTAGTTGTGCGTAAAGTTTATGAAGTGGTTTTATTATGGATCATAAGATGCACATGTGTTGACTTGCAGGTGGCGAGGTGAGTGATGAGAAGAGCCCACCAGGACCTGCGTCCAAACGGGTCAGAACTGCGTACACCAGCGCGCAGCTCGTGGAGCTGGAGAAGGAGTTTCACTTTAACCGCTACCTGTGTCGCCCCCGGAGAGTGGAGATGGCGAATCTGTTGAATCTCACCGAGCGCCAAATAAAGATCTGGTTTCAGAACCGGAGGATGAAATACAAAAAGGACCAGAAGTCTAAAGGGCTGGCGCACTCTCCCCTGGGACACTCCCCGGACAGAAGCCCGCCGCTCAGCGGCCCCAATCACATTGGATACTCTGGGCAGCTCCAGAACGTGAACAGCCTCAGCTATGACGCGCCCTCGCCCCCGTCCTTCGCCAAGCCCCAGCAGAACATGTACGGCTTGGCGGCGTACACGGCGCCCTTGGGCGGCTGCATCCCGCAGCAGAAGAGGTACCCGGGCTCCGAGTACGAACACCACGGCATGCAGAGCAACGGCTTTGCCAACGCCAATTTGCAAGGCAGCCCCGTGTACGTGGGTGGGAACTTTGTTGATTCCATGCCAGCCTCGGGCCCCATGTTCAACCTCGGCCATCTCCCCCACCCGTCATCCACCAGTGTGGACTACAGCTGTGCCGCTCAGATCCCGGGAAACCACCACCACGGACCGTGTGATCCCCATCCCACGTACACAGACCTCACCTCTCACCAAGCGTCTCAGGGAAGGATTCAGGAAGCGCCTAAACTCACGCATTTGTAATATGTGGTCTCTCTCTGTGTGTATGCGTGCGTGCGTGTGCGTACGTGTGTGTTCGTGTGTGTGTGTGTGTGTGTGCCAAAATTACGTTGCGCTCTTTTTATTACCTCACTAGTCTAATAACTGCACTCCAAGCGAGTCGTGTGTATTATTACAGTATTATTGATATTACTATTAATGCTATTGTGTAATTATTTTCTAAATACTACAGCTTTGTCCATTTCTCTTGAGTATTTGGGGATGCGCAGATGAGGCACACATGGTTGTCAGTTGTTAATCTTTTTTTGTTTTCTCTCAAGTGCAATGCGCAGATTTTTTGAGTATTTCGTTATCGCCGTTACTTGAAGGTAAGTCTTGTAGAATCACGAAAAGTAGAAGAAGCTCATCATTAGAGCGAAAGAGACAAAGAGAGAGTTAAAGACTCTTCGGGACATTTTTCTGTCTGTTTTTCCAGGATCTCACTCCTCTATTTATTTATTTTCTATTATGCTGCATAATCTTTTCATACTAGCATATTATAGCCTATTTATTATTTAAATCCTTTTGTATTGCACATTATTTATCGTTTTATATGCGAGTATTTATAAGTGTGTGGGGACTTTTTTGGACATGATCAGTGCACTTGGAAGTGTTGGTAAAACAGGGTTTGGAAAAAAAATGCTTTGACTCGCAGTGTATTGTTGCAAAAAAGAAAAAGAGCATTTCTAATTGTAAATCTGGGATAAATGGGGCATTTTGATAGTGTATAAACACCACTATACAGTATGTCCATGGTTAATCTTGTTGTCAAACCTTAAGCAAAACGTAGACTATCGAAGTATCAAATATTATTATACACACCAGCATGTCATTTTTTTGTGTAGTCATTGCTATGTTTGATTTCGTCTTCCATTGTTATTCCATTCAGTTGGATACCCATAAATTTACCTAATGATATCGAAATGTTATATTTTATTGTGTTTAACATTTTGTAAATAAAGTGCTCAAACTTGTCTTGTTTGTTATTGCGTTTTGTTGCTGCTTCTTGTGTTTGGGTTGAAACGCCCTGCAGCAGGAACACACGCTCATCCACCGCCTGTGTGATGATTTGAATTCCTCCCTCAGTGGAGCTGTCAGGTTAACAGTATAGAGAGGAGGCTTATTGACTCACAGCTCCACTGTACAGTCCAAACATTGGGAGCTAATCGATAATTAGGCACCGCGATATCTAAGACTCATCAGGCGGCTCCAATGCAAAGTGCATTTCAGCAAAAATAGAGGGCTCTGGAGATTATTGATGTTTTATTGGTGTATGAGGGGAAGTGAGCTTATTTCATCTTTCACGTGTCACATCATTGTTTTTAGACTTGGCCACACGATTATCAGAATAAGCTCAATCACTGCAGACTGTTTAAATTGATCACTGAATAATATTGAAATAATAATAATAATAATAATACAGTGGGAATAAAAATCTGCCCATTCCTTGATGGCTATTTAGAGCAGATTAGTGATTATAAAAGTATAGAGGAGTAAAAAAAAAAGAGAGGTGGTTCTTTGACACTGGAAATGATGCAACGATGGATGGAGGCCCGTGCGTGTGCGCGTGCGCGAGAGCGCAGTTCATCCTTTATTGCTCCTGGAGAGCCATTTCAAAGCTCATTAATCAAAAACTCGTCGCTTTCAGACTCCTCGCTGATCCCTCCTCCTCGTGAACAAAGCATTTGCATTCCACGTCCAAAGCAAAGCGAGCAGCACCCCCCCACCCAAAAAAACAATCTGTAATGGTGGAGGGGGAAGCTGCAGGAAGAAGCATCCCAACTGCTTTCACGTTTCATTTTTTATTATTATTATTTTCTGCAGGTGATGTATCCAAGAATTTAAGAGCATCAGGGCAAATGAAAACTCGTGTCACATGGAATCATCAGCAGGTCCCACACAGCCACAGAGATCCACAAAGTAAATCATAAAACCTGCAGCCATGAAGTGATTGTGTCTCAGCAGGTTTGAATCTAAATACTCCACTGACTGCTTTACTTCTTGATCAGATCCAGTCTGGATGGTTTTGGCTACCAGATTCTACTTTGGGCTACAGATCATCCCAGTGTTCAATGGTTGGCGGCCATTTTAACCCTGGCTGAGTTCTTTCTCTCTTCTCCCCCATCGCTGCTCCCTGCTGCAGGTACTGAGCCCCTGAAAGCTTTTTTAAAATTAAGATATTGAAAAGAACACATTTTGCCCCAAAACAAATGGAATTTATTTATCAAATAAATTCTGGTGATAAAATATGATTTTTTTGATCTCTGATTTTTGCATAAATACATAACTGGACCAAATTGAATGAAAGGAAAACAAGTCAAATTATGAAATATAATAATAACAATAATAATAATAATAATAATACACTTTATTCACAGCACTTTTCTTAACAATGTTAGAAAGTGCTTAACATGAATAAGTAAAATTAAAAACCAGACAAGACGAGATTAAACAGTAATAATAAAACATCTTTCTGCATGAGCTTCAAAATCTGAACATATATAGGAATAATTAATGTATTATTTTTTGAATCTATGTCATTATTAATATATCGAAAGGTTATTTTTGTATTTATATTTTATTTTTAAATTATTTAATTGTAACATATCCTTTAAGTCTGACATGTGATGACCATATTTTGGACAAATGAACCATCAACATAGGAAAGAATCTAGACAACATGGCGCCTCAGAAGCATCAATTTAAACAAACTGATTTCCAGATTTTATGTTAACCCTGCTAAACTAGAAATGTGTGTCAGTAATAATACACACGATAAAGAACCACCCCAATACAATGCATCCAGTGCAACTTTATTTTATTAGGATGCAACACTAACAGATTGTTTTAAATGTGCAATAAAGATATTTTCCTCTCAAAAGTAAAGGCCTGTGTCTGTAAAACTACATTTATGGATCTGGTTTGTTGCTCTAATTTGATCATGTATGAAACAATCTTGTTTCATTTGCTTAATAATGTGAACTTTTTATTACATTTTGAAATGGATCAGGCTACTTCCTGAATGATCGTCAGCCTGGTGCCTTGTTGGAGCAGCTGGGAGCTGATTTATTGTCCCTGATTGGATGAAAGCAGAGGAGACCACGCCTGCTCAGTGGAGGCTAATGTTTACATGTGGGCAAGTGTATAGTCCTAGTGTGGGATCACTATTAATGAGAACAAGACACAATCTCTGCACAGGACACACGAGGACAATCACTATTTTAATCCACAGTTTTGTTTTTGACAGGTTGAGGTGTGAGTTGAGGGACAGGGAGTCTGGAGAGGATCTTTATTTCTTTCAGAGACTCTCATGTAGAATAAAGGAGGGACAGTCATGGCTGCTTCTTGGTGTCTGTAACTCTTTAAAGGCTAAACTGGGACATCTCTCCTGCTGCACCAACATGTTGCAGCCCCTGGAAGAAAGTTGGTGGATGTGCACGTCGTCTTCGTCATATCGCGATGGTTCCTCTGTGCGTAAGAGAGCAGCAGCTCTCATCTCCATCCCAGGAGGGCTTTTATGTTTTACGCGCGCTGACTCCAGAGACAACAGGGAGCTGCAGCTGAGAAAAGGTTTTAACACAGAGTATTTACAGGCCGATGTGTATTTATATTTTTATTTCTATTCTTTAACTTCTTCTTTGACCGAACACAGTTATTGTGGATTATCGTCGGAGGAAGACTGAGCAGAGGAAGGATTTTCTTTTATGACATAAAGTAAAAAGGACTTGACCCATAGTTAACTGGAGCTGAGGAGCAGAAGACGTGAGGGGAAAAGGGCCTGAAGGTCTGATTTGTTTTTAACACAGCAACTCATTCATTTTCTGTAATGGAGAAATGATAACAATAATAATATGTGTTTTGCCTGTGACTTCTACTGTCTTAAACATGATGGAACACTCTGACTGGAGCATATGTCACTGTAATGTGTAGGATTAATTGCTGGTCTGATTTTAATGTTTGTAAAATTAAACTATGAAGACTATTTGATTGTACGATCCAGTGTCATTTACCTTGAATTTACTAAATTGAAGAAAATATTGTTGATTATTTTGTGTGATAACTGAACGCTATCAATTGATTTTACTGTATAAATGTATTTTTAATTCATTCACCTGATTTTATTCTTCTGTATCAGCCAATCATAAGATAATAACAAGATGTTATTATTAATATTATTAAACCTATTGTCCTTGTGCCAAATGTTGCTAAATTAAATTGCCAGTGACCTCATTTTGTATTCTTATGTATATTGATAAAAGAGAATGTATCAATATCTAAAATGCAATTTTTATTCTAAATAAAGGACTTAATTTGATGCTCGTTCTCTCACTCTTTGTCTCATTTAAACTTACATTTGTGTTTTTATAGTAAAGAATTTGCCATTTTCCCCCTCACAGTATCCACACATCTACAAACAGTGTTCATTCTATATAAAATGTTTATATAAATGGTTTTACATCCCAGGTTTTCTTGCTTCAGTCTCTTGAACTGACAGCCAGGATTTCCTCTCTTCTCCCCCACACAGTGCTGCAGTTAAGGCTGAATTCTTTAGTATCAGACGAGAGGAGGAAAAATGATCTGTACCACACACACCCTGAGCATCTGTAAACACTGACAGAAGATGTGAATGTTAGAGGACACCGTTGTCACAAGTCCTTCCTGTTCTCCGGCCTCTGCTGTCATTAAGGATTCACCACACACACAGTGTGGAGGTGAGTGAGCAGAGGAGGCTCACACTGGGCTCGTGGTGCAGGGGGGGGCATCATCTGTGTCGTTTGCCAACTCAGTCTGCACTGTATGTCTCCTGCACAAGCACTGCGTGGCTTACATCACCATATTATTAATGCAAAATCATCCCTAAAGCCAGAAATATTTAGATAAAGGTGAAAACCCTGAAATAAGAATGCAGCACTCCAATCAGGAATGACTGACTGCTGCAGAGTTGCTTTCCATTTTGCAAAATCCACATCTGAAGCACATAAAATCTTAAAATACTATTTCCCCTGTCAGCTCCTATACTCTCCTCTGCTCCTCTGCAGCTGACAGAAATGGATTCCCCATGCA